AGGGTCAGAGCTCAGGAAAGGAGGCAGGATAAGCGTTAATGGTAATGAATCCTTGGCAGAGGAGATCTGTTTGTCTCCTCCATACCAGGGTTTGGCAAAGTGCTTGGACATGCATGGACCTTGAAAAATTCTGAAGAGCTGTGTGATGAACAGAACTGAAACATGGGTTTCCTGCACAAGGGCTTGAGCCAAGTGCAGCAGCTCTGAGAGAAGTGGGTCATGTATGCCAGCACCTGTATTTTGCTGTGCTGTGAGGGGATTGACAGGGCAAATCTCCTCTGCTCAGTGCTGAATCCTGGGACAGTGCTGAATCAGTGCTGAATCCTGGGACATGGAAATCTTCTGCAGTGGTTGAACAAGAGTGTGAAGTTGGGCTGGAGGGCCTCATGCCAGGAAGAGAAATTACAAGGCTAGGCAGTTCATCTGCGTGCTGTGGAACGCCCACATCTCACTCCCTTGTTCCTTTGCTGTCCTCAAAGGCTGCTCTTTTCCAGCAGCACAGTAAGTGATGCTGCTGCTGCTTGTAAGGCATCCAGAACACCCTAATTTTTGTGTGTAGCCCTGAAAGCTATCCCAAAAGTAAACTGACCTCAGCAGGTCAAAACACATGGTAGTTTTGTGCTGGACACTACAAGCTCTGAGAGGCTGTAGTATGTATGTTTGTTGTGAAACGGGCCTCTCTGGTGATGATTATTTTTGTTACAGACAGAGTTGGCTTTAGTTTCTGTGTGGAAGGTCCAACAATAACAGTGAGCCCTGCTCTCCTGGGGTGAGGGAAATCCAGAGGGGTTTAATCGGCAGGAAATTCAAGTAGGAGAATGCCCTGCTCCCGGCCTAAGGTTTCAGATGTGCCTGATGAGCTGCAGAGCTGAAAAACCCCAAGTATAGGTGAAGGTTCTTGGGGCCTAGCTATTTTTTTTTTGGATCCTCTGAGTAATGATTACTTTTTGTGGCCTGTGGAGGCAGGAGGAGACTTCATCAGGCTGGGTGTCTCCAGCAGGTCAAGGCACAGAAAGAGGTGTCTGCCTTGTAAAGGGTGAGGAGCTCAGCTGCTGACACCCATCTCCATGGGAAACTTTGGAGCTGCGCACTGTGCAGTGCAGCATTTGCAGAATTTTGCACCTCATGACCTTCTCCAGGTCTTCTTTTCCCATTCCTGTGGCTTGGTTGTCATCCTCTGATGTAGTTCCCCTGTTGGGGTGGCCATGCATGGAGGAAGTTGCAGGGATAATTTGTGTTATGGTGAGCCTTAATGAAAAGAGGGATCTGCAGATTTCCCAACCTGACCATAAGTCTACTCCAACACTGCCAAGGAGTATTGACCTCTCTAACCTCCCTTGAGGAGCCCTGCTGCTCTCCTGTGGCCTTGTTGTTGGCACAGCACTCCACTGGCCCCTCTACTATGTGGACTGGCAGGGGCCCCAGCAGTTTGCTTTGAATGCCTGCATTTTGCTTACTGAGCAATGGGATGTCCCATGCACCTGGCAGACTTGGCTTGTACTTCAGAATTTAATTTTAATTTTATTAAGTGAATTCAGGGCTGGCAAAAGCTGCTGAAGCCCATTAGCTATGGAACACGTCTTGCTTCCAATGCATACAGACTGAGCAGTAGCCATGCCCCTAACCTTTCCTTTTTTTTTTCTTTTGCATGGATGCAATGCATCAGTTTGGAAGAACCCATTAACATAGAACTTTGAGCCTCTGCTGTATACAAAGCAAGGCCATATTTTATACAGAAAGACAGTGGTTGGCATGACTGCGGAGTCAAACCCTATGCCCATCAGTGGGCATGGTGACAGATTTTTTTGTTCTCATTGCAGGTACCTGCTAGATACCTGTGACTCAAAAGAGAAAAAGCCCAACAGAACATTTACATAGATATTTAAGTAATTTTGCCTCTTCAGATAACTCTAAGAAGCCTTGAGTTCCTGGTATGCTATTGCCCACCATGTGGGCAAGGCAGTGCTGTACTGAAGTAGCCCCCTTCATTTCTGTGGACTTCTTGGGTAGGAATGAATGATAGGACAAAATGTTTCTCTGAGAGACATAAATAAGCTTTCCTGCAGGTGGGAGACTTTCACTGCTCCAGGAAGATGGTGACATTTTCCTGGTGAAATCTGAACACCTGAGGGGTGTGGCTGGTGCTCGTGTTTACTTGGGAGGTTCACCTGCTTGTCCTGTTTTGCTGGAGAGGTCTCAGCTGCAGGGAGCTGGGCTCCAGCCCCTCTCACTCAGGCTGTCCTCACTGGCACCAACAGTCTAATTTGGGCACCAAGCTGACCTGAAATTAGGATCAAGAGTAGGATTTTCTTTAGCTCAGTCCCACTGAACTGTGATGGCCTTGCAGGGCAAAGGAGAAGTTTCAAGGTCAGAATTGAGTAGAACTGTGTTTCTGCTCCTGGGTTCATTAGTTGGGGAAGAGCTGACATCTCTGTTCACATGACAGTTCCCCTCCAAGTGGTTGAGCTGCAAGGGCTCACAGGGTGTTCACGGTATCTGGCATGAGTAAGGGGCTAGCAGCTTCTGAGTGGTGGGTGATGTTGGTGGTATCAGCCTAGCGGGTAGCATGTGTGTGAAAGCTGGAGAGACGGGAGGGAATCACGAGGTGTGGAAGGATTGACTGTATTTTCATTGTTTGGAGACTTTGCCCTTTCCAAGAAAAATAATCTGCAGCTTGAATATTTTTCTTTGCTGGAGGGGGTGGACATGTGTGCAAACGAGGTGTGAATTTTTATGAGAAGGTGTGAAAGTGCGTACATGAGTGAAGTGTGAATTACACGTCTATTTGTACATTGATGTCAACAAGTCCATGAATTTCTTCTTTCCACGTGAATGTCTCTTTCTCTCCCTCCCTCCAAGCCCACATAAACACATGTGTGGGCAAATATGCCTTCCTGAGAGAAGATATTTGTGCAAGAATGTAGGTTTGTAAATGTTTGTGTGTTGAGCAATCTCTCCTGTGGAACAAAACCAGATGTTTTTTGGTATTCTCAGCTCTTCATGGCAGTGCTGCATTTTTTCCCCTCGTATTTTTCAGGATACTTACAGGATTATTTTAAGAAAAAGGGAAGGCTGCAGATCTGCCTTTGGGTGTGTGCGAAGAAAGTTATTTTGAAGAATGAATGTGTTAGAGGGCATGAAAAACATGGGGGAAGCTGAGTGTTTTTTCACGGCAAAGGAAGCCTCGCTGGCCCATGACGGGCCCTCCTGTTGCCCTTGTTTTTGCACAGGACACGTGCATTTTCTGCAGGCAGCGTGCAGGCAGCAGGTTGTTTATTCAAAGTGCTTTTTTTCCAGGAAGCATTTCTGCTGAGGGTCCTGCCTGACTCCTGCTGCTCGCCTTGGCTCTGGCAAGAGGGCAATATGAGCTCAGACTGGGATGTGCCTACCGAGAGCTGGTAGACTTGTGACAGCCTGGCAGGGGACACCCCTGGGACCTGGCAAACCCTATGGCAGAGGAAGAGAGCCAGACCCACAGCAAGGGGCTGAGGCCGCAAAATCTGCACTGCTTTGCTTCTCTTGGGTGGGCCTGGGGCATTGCAGTGAGTGCTGCTGTGGAGGGAGAGGAACATCGCTCAGGACCAAGGCAATGGGGAACACGGTGGAACACAGCCTTTGCTCATGCAGCTGCTGGGATGTGTGGTTACCCTCCTATATCAAGGGTGATGCTTCTCTGTGCCTTGACTCCCTTGGGGGTGTGGGATGTGCTGCAGCCTTAATCTCAGGGTGTGCAAATGTGGGTCTTGGGAAAACCCAGTTGCATCCTCCTGCATGTCCAGGATCCTCTGGGGCTGTGGGGCTAACCTGACAGTGGGAACATCCCACGAGGGTTTGCTTCCCACATTGTACCCCACTGCTTATTGTCAGGGAGGACAACTTTCCTCAATGTGGGACTGGGGTAATCCCATATGCCTGCCAGCCTGCCCTATGGAGGGACTTAGGGCTTTGTTGGGTTTTGCCCATTTTGGTGGGGTTTGTGTGTTTTTCTGGGTATGAAGAGGCAATATTGTCTTCTGGGGGCAGCTGTTGCAGCTTGTGGGCCTGGGTGCTGATACAAGGAGGTGGCAGGGGAGTGGGGAAAGCAGGACACACAATGGGGGCCCATGGAGAAAGGGACTTTGGGATTTGTAGTGCATTATCAAGTGACCCTGTGATGGAGATTTTCCTCCCAGCAAGTAATGCAATAATAAATTTGATTTGCAGCATTCATGAGATTAAATGTTTTTTTGATTACAAAATCACCCTCTAGGGCCTACTCTAGCCCAAAGCTGAGAGAGCTTCCTCTGCTTACCACGCAGCCATTGCCAGCCATTTGTGGGCTAGTCCCACAAAACCACCACTGTTGATTATCTGTGTCTGCAGCTCCAGTGCATGGGTTAGCTTGCAGGTTGGGGAGGGAGACACAGCAAACGGAGAGGGGCTTTCATGGGGTTGCAGGCTGGGGCCAGGAAGGACAGGTGCTGTCCTTAGCTCTGCCACACAGTGTGGGTGGGTCTGGGCTCACCAGCAACCCTGACATGCCTCAGTTTCCTTGCCTGGAAACAGCACAGCTTTCTGCCCTCCTGCAGCTGGATTGAATTTGTAGTGTCTAAATTCTGGTGTCTCCTGAGGCAGCTGTGGGAGACTGACACAGAACAGCTTGCAAAGGAGGCAAAAGAAGGGATAAAATGAGGCAGCTACAGATGATCTGATATCAATCTGTCTCTTACTTTATGGCTCTGTAATTGCCTTGGCAAGAGCATTCATTTCTCTTTTCTGGGCTGTGTGAAATGTGGTATGTAAGTGTGGCAGGAGGTGGAGGGGAAAGGAGTATGTTTGTTCTGCAGAATAATTCTCCTTGCCCAGAGATTAATATCAATATTGGAGTACCAAAGGGATGTCAATGGGCTGGAGAATGGTCTTTATCAGACCACTCCTATCAGTGGCTCAGGGAGGCCTGCTGTGCACACCTGATGCCCAGAACATCTCTCAATGCCTTGTTCCCTTCTGTGTCTCTGCAGCTCAGCCATGCGGGGGTCGCCTGAACTCCAAGGATGCTGGGTACATCACCTCACCAGGGTACCCCAATGACTACCCCTCCCACCAGAACTGTGAATGGGTCATCTACACCCCTGAATCCAACCAGAAGATTATCCTCAACTTCAACCCTCACTTCGAAATCGAAAAACATGACTGCAAGTAAGAGCCTTCCTCTACCTCTCTAGTACATAGTTACCCCCTCTTCCTGCTTTTACCTAGTCTTGGGTATGGGTCTTGTACTTCTTTCCACTTGAAATCAAGCATCACTCTGAGCCCCCACAGTGCTGCATCTCTTTGCCTTTCCAGAGCAAGGGTTGCCTGTGAGGTTGTAAGATGCTGCTTTGGACACATAGGATGAGCCTACTCTGCAATGAACTTGTAGTTCTTAACTTGGCCTGATACCACCTGAAAGCAAGATCCAACTGGTTAAAAGGCAGCTGTTTGTTGGATCTTGCTACTTCTGTGTTGAAGTAGCCTCACTCTTCTTTTAAACCATGCTGGGAGAGCAGAGCAATTTCCTGCTGTGTAACTAGGCAGAGGTATGGCAGAGTGCCCTGTGGCTGGAGACCCAGATTCGGGCCATGTGAGGTTGGAGACATGGTGGTCTGAGCTGTTTGGGCTGGATCTGATTTCCCATAGTGCTTTTTCTGCTATGTTTGGTAAACTGGGGAGATGGGGTTTTTTGCCGTTTATTCCCTTTTTCTTCTAAGAAAGGACCCAGAAACTAGATGTCTGGGAAAAACAATTAACAACTAGTAAAGAATAATTAAAGGCATCAAAGGGCACCATAAAAGGCTGAGTTAATAATATGGTCTCAGCAGACATAGAAACCTGTGGGTTTCATCTGGAATGCACAGCCAGCTACAGGGATGCCTGAGTGTGAAGGAGCTTGGGGTCTCCTAAAACAGGCCTGACATAACAGTCCTGCTCAATACACTGGTCCTGTTGATTAAAAGGGGGTTGCATATGGAGAGGGAAATTCTGTTTGTAAAAAAGGACAAAGGAACAGGGGAAGCGTTTATGGGGCTGCAGAATCAGTCCTGCGGAGAACAAAGAATTCAGCATGGGTTTGATGATGTACTGAAGGTTATGAAGTGCAGAGCTGGATCCTCAGCTATCATAAATCAGCATAGCTCCTCTAACTCTAATGAAGGTGTGCTGATTGATGTCATTGGGGATTTTGTCACCCCCTACAGATAAAGTCTGGGCTAATAAGGCTTTGAACACCATGAACTCTCCCTGAAGTCACCGTATGTGCAAGTTGTTTAGCGCTTTGCAGGATCAGGCCTGTGTATAAAGAAGGGAGAAGGTACAGAAAGGCTTAAAGTGGGCATAGATGAACACAACAAGGCCTTGCAGTGGAGGTGAGAATGATAGATGCTATCAGATTTTATTGCTGCTTGCATAGGCTGAACTGCACAGCCTCCTCATAGCTAATGCAGTTGCCCCAAATTCACGGTAATAAAAGCTGTATAGGCCCGTATTTGCAGTCTGAAGAGTGTGCCATATGTACGGGCCAGGCCAGTGTTGTGTGCAAGGCAGGGATCAAACTGGGCCAGAAGGACTCCAGCTTCTGCCTCTTCAAGGCCTCAGGCAAGCAAAAACAGGTTGGTCAGAGAGCTGGAAATCCCCATGGGCACCAGGCTTTTCCTCCACCTGTAGGAAGGTGCCAGTTTTAGCTCTGATTATCTTGTGCAACTTTTGCCATGCTTTGCTGCCTGTGAGAGAGCATTGTCTGGTCCCAGGCTGCAGGTGGTGTGTGTTCAGTAGTGTGCTCAGGACTGCCTGAGCTCTGGGGGTGTTGGTTATGCCTTTGCTGCTTTTTGCTTTACTGTGGCAATCTTCTGAGTGGCTGCTGTGTGGTCTCACTATTTCCCTTTTTGCGTGTACGTGCACAAGGAAGCTTTTCTTAAAGGGAAATAGGATTTATCCACTTGAGCTTCTGCCGGCCACAGCTGTGAGCTGAGAGCCAAGCTGACTTAGGGTGCCTGCTCTCTCAAGCCAGCACTGAAGAGGAGTGGGTTTGAAAGAGCTTCATGGACAGTGCTTGATAGGAAGCATAACAGAACAATGAAAACAGTGTATGATAAACATGGCCTGAAAGAAATGGATAGGAGTGAGATTATTTTAAGTGACCGACCAGGAGGAGGCAAATATGGACACTGCATAAAGCTTGGGCATTAATAGATTACATTAATAATAGGTCACCATATAGTGATAAATCTCATCTGAGTGTCAGAGGGTTTTTTATGAAGAAGCAAGGACCTCATTGCAGCTGCAGGTGTGAACCTTAACAGGAACAGGAGATCAGCATCAAAGACAGTCTCAGGGCAGAGCCCTCCTTTTGACATCTCATCATTAATATAGAGCACATTCACATCAAGGTGACAGGCAGATGGACTCCATGGAGGCACTCACTCTCTGGGCAGACAAGGTCCCCTGCTCCGGTGTTGCTACCTGGCTGCTATTGGAGCAACAATGGGGCTAGTCTGTGCTTCCAGCTGCCAGAGGTAAACACCATAACCCCTTCCTCTGTTGCTTCTTCTTTCAACATTTCATTTTACCTTATTAGGCTAAAGTTTCTCCCTCATAAAGCATAACATTTACATTCCTAAAACCCATTTGAAAGCCTACAAAAATGTCTCCAAAGTCTTTTTAGTTTTGCTGTGTCCCTTCTGGCCTTCCTTGTATCTGCTTTGGATTTCCCTCTGGGACAGGAGGCATTTCCTCCTGTGTTTTGTGCTGTGCCTGACACCCTGGGGATCTCTGAGGAAAGGTCAAAGATTTCCCCTCGGCCAGCAGCTGGCTGGAAGGGGCCTGTGAAAGTGGTGCTGCCTAGATGCCAGAGCAAGAGCTGCCTTCAGAGAACAGCTTTGGCAGCCTGGAGGGTGGAAACATCAGCCAGAGATGGATGCCCAAGGTGGCAGACAGAGGTGGCTGCTCAGTGCTGCTTGTTGCTATTGTTTTCTGGAAGCACATCTGGGCTTTTATTTTTCAGCTGTGTCCAGCTGCATTAACCAACTGCACTCTATCACCACCATCATGAAAGGAGTAATTTGGTGTAATTGAAGCCCCAGAACATCTCTCTCTGAGTGCTGTGTCTGTGCTCTGAGGAAGTGTCTTGCTTTGGGAGCACACTAGGTTGAGAAAATTGGCCTCCTCCTGCTGTTGTGGCTATTGTGTACCAGCAGGGATCCCTGTGGCAGGGAGGGTGGGCATGCTGTGACAAGGAGTAGGGGCCAGGGCTATTGTTTGTGCTGTCCTGCAGCTGTGGGGCCACAGCAGTAATGCCAGAGCCAAAAGGGAAGTTTGATGCTCTGATAAAAGATCTGACGAGCTATTCAGAAATGATCATTCTAGTGCCTGGCTGTTTGTTCCCATCTGTGCTGTGAGTGCAGCTGGAGCTCAGGTACTGCACCCCACATCATTGGTATCTGCTCAATGAACAGGGAAGTGGCATCCAGTGAAAAAGAACAGGCTGCTGCTGTGGTGAAATGTTTCCACTTCCGTGTAATATGGGGGTTACTGGGCACTCTTGTGCATGCTGGAGTTTATTTGGGATCCCACGAGTGACCTGAACCATTTGCAATAGACGGGCAACAGGGACAGCTTTTGCAGTCATGTAGCTAAGCTGTCCACTACTTCTTAATTGCCATTGTGCTGTTCTGTGTGCTCTGCTTGCTTGGAAAATCCAAGTCCAAAACCTCAGCTATGCATGAGTCATTGTGTTTATGACCAACCACCTTTTTGTTCGTGCCACCCTCCCACTGCTGGTCTTCTCCTTGGACCACTAAAAGCTCCCTCCTGCATTTGGCTACTGACTCTGCCACCCCCAGCCACACTCAGCTGACCCTACCAGAGAGTTGGGCTGGGCCATGCACATGCAGCAGAGGCACACTCCCTCCAGGCTGCAGTGGACGTGCTCGTGCTTCCTCTGCCAGCAGAAGACCTTCCAGCTGACTCATAACATCTGCTCCAGAGGAACGGTGTTTTAAAAAATCCCGACTGGTAGTCAGACCACGGCCAGTGGATTTTTCTGCAGCCATTTCCAGCACATGCTGCAACTGGGTTGCAATCGGTGGGGTCCCTGCCTGGGAAGGAGTTAGGGGACTGCTGCCGTGGCTCGCAGCCCCCTCTGGTGGCACATGCCAAACGCTGGCTAAAGTTTCTGCAGGCAGGGGGCTGGGGACTCCCAAATAGGCTGGAGGAGGCAAACTGGCAATTGAGCTGCAGTCAGGCTCTTTTTCCTGTCTTTGGGTCCCCCGGTCAAACCCAGAAGGTTTCAAGAAACAGGAACTGGGGCCACTATCGTGAGGAAATTTATGCAGTGGTCACTGTGACCTCATAAGAGCCCTAATGGTGCCAAGAGAGTTGAATGATCCTGATGTGTGCTGGGTACAGGGCAGGCACGGCAGGAGGAGACACGTCTGCTCCCAGCTTGAAGGCCAGAGTGAACCGAGGTTTGGCTGGGGAGACAGCACCTTCCTAGTGCCCATCTCACAGAGCACTGCTGGCCAGGGGACACCGGCAGCAACATGCCACAGCACAAAGGGTGACACGTGCAGCTTGGACAGCCACTGAAGGCCTCTTATGGCAGCATGGCCATCTCCTGAGCGGCCAAAAAGCTGAGCACTGGAAGAAAACAGTTCTGCATTCTTCCTAGAGAGCCACAGAACCGCTGGCTCAAATTCCTCTGAGCTGATGTGGCAGGCAGAGCTGCATCCAGACCCAGTAGCCAAAGCCAGGCAGGCAGCTGGGGGCTGCTGCTTTCAGCCTGCCTCTCTTGCCATCTCCTTCAAACAAGAGTGTAATATTGGGAGAAGCCATCCTTCCATCAGTGAGGGTTAAGAGTAGACAAGGCAGCAATCATGGACAGCTAATTAGTAAATGCTTTGAAAAGTATGCATAAGTAGCTTATTAGCAAACATTTTAGAAACAATGCAGTTCATCTAGTGATTGGCAAAATGCTTAGAAAAGAGAAATACATTTGGAGCACTAGAGAATGCCAGGGGTTGGAGGGGTTCTTTGCTAGGATGCAAGGGGAAGTGACTGCATCTCCTGAAGTATTGGGGGAGTTGAGCTTTAACTTTGCAGTGAGGGGAAGTCAAAGATGAGGTGTTAAGGAAGGCATTTGCTTGCTCATACATTTGTGGCATGGG